CTTTTCATCACAACCCCACCCCCACCCCCACGTGGGCACAGAACAGCAAGTTTCACCAGAGTAGGATCGTTTGTCCCGGTGCCCCTTCCCCTACTCTGAGCTCACTCTGGTATGGTCCAGCAGATTGGGACATCTAAGTGCTCTCCGGGCCCCTGTGCACTGGGTTCAATGTGCTTCGGCCCTTAAGCCCCAACAGGGATGGTCCAACTCAGAGGGTGCCAGGCCGGAATTCAGGAGGTATTTTCCATTTGTCCTAGGTAACTTCTGGAGAGTACATACCGGAAGACCCCGGCCCACCTCCAGTGCCCGGCTCGGGATGGAAAAGCAGGTCCCTGGCCTTCCCCTTCGCCCAGCGGTACATCCCACCGGTCTTCCCGGCTCTGACCGCAGCCTCCTTACCTACAGGTGGTCTTGCCAACGCCACCTTTGCCCCCGACAAAGATCCATTTAAGGCTACGCTGCTCGATGATGTTGCTAAGCGTGGGTTCCAGCGGCTCCACATCAGGCGCATCCTCGAACTCCTCTGCTTCAACCCCCCACCCGGCCACCCCTGCCGCCATCTTGGAACCGGCTCACGTGATCAAGCGGAGCGCACCACGCAAAGCACCTACAGGGGAAAATCCCTGTCATATCTCCATCAGGCCTAGCATCTCGAGCTAATTTCCTCATAGCCTGACTTTTAGACGCCAATAGAAGCTATATGTCCAATGTTCTCCTTTACCAGGGCTTACCTCGCCGATCTCTCGATTATGTTTTCTCACAGACGCCCCCTGCCTAATTAACATATTGGTACGCTCCAGAATACTCCCCTTTACTGATTGGACCCTAAGTCTTGCAGCGCTCTTTTCATTGGCTACACTTTTTTTTTTTTACTTTCACCAATCACTCGCACGTTCCGGTAGCCTCCAACCTCACCTTAGCAACCAGCCAAACACCCAGTCCATGCCCTTTGGGTGAAGTTAGATCCCAGGGCCGCCATAACCTGACTCCATAGGCTCAACCTCATGTCGATCATTTCCACCTCTGACGCAAACCAATCAGATGAATTAATTAGTTGGCTAAGAACGGTCCTGAGGCTGTGAGTGGGCTATAGGGAGAACAACTCCAGTTTGTGCGCAAGGCCCGCAGATCCTTGTTCGGTGCTCCCAGAACTCCCATGCTGGGCAGACCAGAGCAGGGACCACACTTACAACTGCGCTCCTTGTGTTGGAAGGAACCCTATTCCTGAAAACCTCCTTACAGTTTGCTCCCCGCTGGGAAGGGGAGATTCCAGTTCAGCGAATTCCCCGTTTGGACCTCAGCAATGGGCAGGATTACAAACTGGGTCCCAGGCCCTTGGCAGACACTGTTTTTTGTTTTTAAAGATATTTTATTGCCCTGGACGGTATGGCTCAGTTGGTTGCGCCTCGTCCCATGCACCAAAAGGTCGCCGGTTCCATTCCCAGTTACGGTACATGCCCGGGTTGCAGGCTCTATCCCTGGTTGGGGGGTGGGGTGGCAGGAGGCAGCTGATCACATCGATGTTTCTCACTCTCCTTTTTCTCTAAAATAATTTTAAAAACATTTAAAAAATTTAAATTGATTTTTAGAGCGAGAGAAACGGAGAGGGAGAAACATCGAAACAACGATCGGCTGCCTCCTGCCACCCCCGTACGGGGGATCCAGCCCACAACCCGGGCATGTGCCCTGACCGGGAATCCAACCGACAACCTTTCCAAGTGCACGGGACGACGCTCAACCAACTGAGCCATACCGGCCAGAATTTGGCGGGCACCCTTGATTCTAAGCTGGGGGACTCCACAGTTTAGCAGTCCTACCTGCTTCGAGTATATTAGCCCATAAAATAATACCCTGATTCTCATGGGGACCCCAGCTCCACGGAACTAGCTGTGAACGCATTCTCAAATGAGCGCTCCATCCCAGAGTCAGGTAACCAACCCAGAACACCCTCATTTCTCCTCCGAAGATCCAGGCTAGATATGCTCTCTAGACCTAGTTAGGGACCTATGTTCCAAGGTGTCAGTTGAGCACACAGCCACAAAAGGAATCCCTCTCCTCACTGAGATTATCTTTGGTGCCAAGAGGGGATTCTAGTCACTGGAAGCTATGCGCCCCCAGTCCCAAGCGGGAACCTCACTCCGGAGAGCCAGCTACACCATGTCTCTGTAACGCCCGCTCAAGTCTAGCTGGACATAAAGGTCTGCGGAGCGAAGGACTCGCTCCAGTTTTAACCCCTTCTTCGCCCCGCCCCTCAGGTCCCCCCTTCACTGCGGACGCTACCGGGCCAGACCTCTCTTCCCGGCATGCATTGCCCGGGATCTGACTAGTCTGGCGCCTAGCGCGGGGCCGGAACGGCCTTCCCGGAGTCCTTTGCGCGGCACCTGGTGACAAAATGGCTGCCCGAGGGAGACGGGCGGAGCCTCCGGGCCGGGAGGCGCCGGGCCCTGCGGCGGGCAGCGGAAGCGGGAGCCGATGGGCTGAGTCGGGGCCCGGGACTTCGCCCGAGAGCGGGGACGAGGAAATGTCGAGTCCAGTGTCGGGCGGCGTGAACTTGTTCGCCAACGACGGCAGCTTCCTCGAACTGTTCAAGCGGAAGATGGAGGAGGAGCAGCGGCAGCGGCAGGAGGAGCCTCCTCCGGGCCCGCCGCGACCCGACCAGCCAGCTACCGCTGCTGCAGCGGGTCCCGGGGATCCGAAGAGGAAGGGCGGCCCGGGCCCCACGCTCAGCTTCGTAAGGAGCCGCGGGGGTGGGGGCGGGCGCCAGGGCCTTCCTTGGCAGGGGGAATTGGGCCCGAGAAAGGGAATCGGGATCCAGGTCCACCCTCCAACCTTGATGAGGGTTACATTCAGGTCATTCGCTGAAGTTGCGGAACCTGGATTCCCGACGAAAGAGGTTTGGGGGCGAAGGTAGGGACCCTGTAGCCTGCTCGCGAGAACCGGGAGCCGGGGATAGGGAAACCAGAATACCAGGATTCCTGTTTAAGTGGTACCGTAACTACGGATACTGGGACCATCTACCGCTATTCGGAAGGGGAGCAAATTCAAATCTGGAGTCTAAGATATGTGGATTAGAGACTCAGACCACTTACTGTGTGACCTTAGGAAATTTGCTTGGCTTCCCTGAGTCTCATCCAGTGTCGGTTTATGGAGCACCTTACCTTGTGCTGGGCGTTGTACTAGGTGTTGGATATGCCCTGGTGACATGACAGACAAGATCACTGCTTTCCTGGAGCGTCTGGGACGACCTACCTTCATTTTTTTGTATTTGGAAAAATGGACATCACCTCATCTTTTGATGTGATGAGAATTCAGTGAGGCTATCCTGGAAAAGGCTTTAGCATGGGGCCTGTCTGATAGAAAGGGTTAAACCAGTTCTCTTTTAATTGTTTTAAATTAAAAATTTTTTCTTATTAGAGAGGAAGGAGTTGAGAGAGCGAGAGAGAGAGAGAGATTGACTTATTATTCTATTTATTTGTGCCATCATTGGTTGATTCTTGTATGTGCCCTGACCCGGGGTTGAACCTGCAATCTTGGCGTGTGGAGTTGGTGCAGTAACCAACTGAGCTACCCAGCCATGGCCAGTTGTTCTCAATTGGGGATGATCTTTCCATTTAGCAAAATCTGGAGACATTTTTGGTTGTCAGAACTGGGGGAGGAGGTGCCACAGGCATCTGACTAGAGACCAGGATGTTGCTCAACGTTCTACAAATGCACAGGACAGCCCTCCTCACACCCCCAGTTTCCCAACAAAGAATGATCCAGCTCCAAAAGTCATTAGTGCGAGATTGAGAAACTTTGGGATAAATAAATGTCATTTATATTGCTTGCTTGCTCAGAGCTTGCTTTGTCTCTGGTGTTGAGATCAAGCCCCTGCCATGTGGAGAAAAAAGTGAGAATAATGGACTGGGAGTCAAGTTTCTTCACCAAAAATGGGTTTGACTAGTCCCAGCAGGGCAAGTCACTTAATGCCTGATTGATGGGTGGAGATGGGATGATGCCTTTCAAGCCTGTTGCAGCCCATAGGGCACAGGAAATGGGGAAAGATGGCGGACCAGGACAAGAGTCCAGAGTGAGGCTTCTGTTTGAGGAAGGGAAAGTGTCAGGAGCTGGGTTGGTGTGAGAATTGTGTGGAAGCTGAGTGCCCCTCCTTGAGTGGGAGTAGCAGGAGTCACTGCCTTTTTCATTTGTTCACTGAAGGGCTGTTGTGGGAGCATCCTCAAAGAGGCCAGGCCAGATTAGGTCCAGGGGACACAGTGTTGCTTGGTGGTTAAGAATGCTGCTCTGTGACTTCAACCCACTTGACCCTGAATTCAGCTCCATTATTTGCTGCCAGCATAACCTAGGGTACAGGCCTCTCCTCAAAGATGTTTCCTCATGTATAAAATTGGAATGGTTGTATCTGTGAAAGTGAAAGGAGATGGTACATGCAAAGCACTTGGCACTGGGCTTGGCATACAGTAAGTGCTTAATAAAAGGAGCTGTTGCCTGGCCAGGTGTGGCTCAGCAGTTGAGCATCGACCTAGGATTCAGGAGATCGAGGGTAGATTCCCGGTCAGGGCACATGCCTGGATTGTGGGCTTCATCCCCAGTCAGGGGCATGCAGAAGACAGTCGATCAATGACTCTCTCATTGTTGACGTTTCTGTCTCCCTCTCTCTAAAATCAATAAAGATATATTAAAAAAATAAAAGGAGCTGTTGCTGCCTGCATGGTCACTGCTAGGGGAGGGTGAGGCTTCAGCATGGAGACTGAGGACAGAGCCTGTCCCCACTGATGTGGGGGTTCTCCCTGGGAGGACAGCCTGGGGGCCCAGGACTGCCTGGGCATCATGGGCCCAGGGCAGGCGCTAAGAGTCGCGTGTGCTCCTCTCTGATTGCTGCGCAGGTTGGCCGGCTGGCGGAGCTGGGCGCGGCGTCGGGACGGGCCACCGGGCCGGGCTAGGAAGGTGTAGTGGGCCTCAGCGCCGCCAAGGGCGGGCCCGACTCCTGTAACCGTTGCAGTCTTCTGTCCCTTCACCCAGGTGGGCAAGCGCAGAGGCGGGAACAAACTAGCCCTCAAGACGGGAATAGTAGCCAAGAAGCAGAAGACGGAGGATGAGGTGAGCAGGCCAGGTTTGGAAGCTACCCACGTGGCCTTTCCTTAACTACCTCAGCACCTGGCTAACCAGCCCTGTCCCTCCCTGTTTAGCATATGGGCCTTGGATGGGGTGGGGGGCGGAGGGCTTTCAATAAGGTCCCCAGATAACTTGACTCTGAATGTCTTTACCTGAAACCCAGGACCTCTGGGATGGTGACACTGGGGTGGGCCAGGTGTCTCAGGACAGTCGTGACCCTGGTTCCTGGCCTCCGTGGTATCCCCTTCCCAACCTCTTGTGTGTGCCCCTGCCTCCCTCCTCACAGGTATTAACAAGTAAAGGTGACGCATGGGCCAAGTACATGGCAGAAGTGAAAAAATACAAAGCCCACCAGTGCGGTGATGATGATAAGACTCGGCCCCTGGTGAAATGACCCCCTTCCCCCGCCTGCCCACGGCCTGGGACTCTCTGCGATGTACATAACTATTTAATGCGGTGGCAGCAGCGGCAGCCTTTCCCCCCAAGGACTTAAACACAGAAGGAAACCGAGATGCTTCCCGCAGCTGCGGATGATCCTCCAGGACTCTTTTTTACCTTGAGCACTTGCCTCCTGCGACTTCATACAACAGTGGTTTACTGTCCCCTCTCTTTCCACCTCCTTGCTCTCTCTCGCTCTTTCTGTCTTCCTCGTCTTACCCTCCCCTTCTTCCTCCCCTTAGCCATCACTTCTGGGAAGTAAAGAACTCTACTTAGTGCTGGAGCTGTGTGCTTGGTTTGCCTTCTTTGCTTCTTCCAACCTAAAGCCTCCCTTGCTGCACTCACCAAAGCCAGGATCTGGCCTGGTGAGGGGAACTTGGGGTGTGTGGGGAGGATGGGGGCATGCCTGGTCGGTAGGCCTGGACTCTTTCCCCAATACCCATTTCCCCCCGACACCTGACTGGACCTCCCACTGTTGCACCTAATGTTCAGGGTCTCTTCACAGTCCCATTTGGCTGGACCAGAGCTGTTACTCAGCAGACACTAAGCACCTACTGTGTACCTGGGCTTGGCCCTGGGGCCACAGCTTTGAACAGAACAGACCACACTCACTCCCTGCCCTTGTGGAAGGAAACAGACAAAAGGGAAGCCATTTGGGAGGTGAAGAAGTACTGGGTAGAGGCTGGGCGAAGGTGTATGTTTTCATTGACATCTGATTAGGGACCTGAGGGAGGTGAGGAAATGAGTTCCAGGTGGAGGGAATAGCCAGCATAAAGACAGGTGGAAGAGTGCCTCATCCTTATGGGGAGCTTTGAGGGGGCCCATATGACGAGCAAGGTGAGTGAGGAGGATGAGTGGATTACATACAGAACCTTGTGTGTTACGGTGGAAACTTGGGACTTTATTCTTATTAGAAGAAACCTTTGGGGGGTTTGAGCTAAGTGTGTTTTATATTAACAGGATCTACCTGGCCGAAGTAGGGCTGGGGTGGAACCTGGGAGACAGAGAGGCTGGGTCATGATCAGGGGAGCAGAGGTAATGGGCTCTTGGCAGTGCAGGAAGTGAGGAGGGCTAGGATCTGGATTTCAGGGAAGCTGCTCTGTTCTTCCAGCTACTTGCAGTTCTTCCAGGGAGGCTGGCTGTATATATGATCAGGAGAAGGAGCACATAGGAAAAGGAACATAGGAGAAGGAGCACATGGGCTTGTTGGGGGACAGGGTGTCCTAAAGGAAGTATGACTCCCCTAGTGCCCCTCTAATGCTCCTTGTCCTGTGCTCTCCTGATGGAGCTGGAATGCTTTAAGATGCCTTTGCCTTCCAACCTCTTCTCAAACCTAATAGATCTGGGGTCCCTGATATGGCCCTACCTCTCAGGCCTTCCCAGGCTCAAATGCTGAGCAGCTCAGCACTCCAGCCTATCCCATGGCTAGGTTCCTGTACCCCTTCCATCAGGGGAGGACCAGAACTTGGAGGATCATGGTGGTCACTGGGACCTATGGAGGCAGAGGGAGGAAGGACAGGCAGCTGTGGTCCTTCCTAGGAGAGGGCAGAGGTGGCACCTTGCTGGCTTCAGTCTGCCAGAATCCAGCCTATGAGGGTTGAGGTGGAGCACCAGAACAGACAAAACTGTCCTAGTGGAGCTAACATTCTAGTTGGGGGAAACAGACAAAACAAAACCAGGACACATCAGATGGTTATACATTCTAAGGGGGGGGAAGCATGAAAGGGACTGAGATGAGAGTGGAAAGATGGCCTGCCTCCCGGAGAAGGTGGCATTTATCCCAAGTTCTGAAGGTGAGACCAGCAGTGAAGAGTCTGGAAGTATTCCAGGTGGAAGGAACAGTAGGTACAAAGACCTCAAGCTGAAACCATGCCTGACTTGAAGAGGAGGGAGCAAGCCAGCTTTGGAACAGGAGATGTACCCCTCTCATTTCTTGCTAATACACAGTAAAGTCTGGTTTATTTTCCACATTGGCCCAAAGTGCTGTTCTTCCTATTTTGGGGATGCTGAGCTGACCCAGGTGTGACTTTAGCCTTGGGGAAAGGGTATGGGGGGAGGGGAGATATCCAATAGAGCTACCTCTACCTCCTCCTCCCTCAAAGCCACCAGCAGTGGTTGGATCTTTAAAAAGAAACACGTGGGAGAAGTAGGTCGCCCCTGCAGCAGCTCAGCTTCTATTCTGGAGTGTCAAGAGGCAGGAGGAGCTGAAGGAGTCCTGGCACACCCCTTTATGGTGCTCACCAGCTCTGACCTGGGGAAAGTGAAGAGGGAGGAAAATTTCAGGTTTTGGTGAGTCAGTTTGGCTTCAAACTATTCTGATGCCTGTTAGCTGTTTGATCTTGGGTAAGTCACTTAGCTTTTCTGTAGTTCAGATTCTTCATCTATAAGACTGGTAAAATGCAGAACCATTTCTAGAGTCAGGTTCTAATGTTCATCTAGTCAATGGTAACCCTGACATTTTAAGCAGCTGTAGTTGCTTTTCTGGGTGTGAAGCAACTGGCTTGTGTTTGGTGGTCGTGTTTGAGAACTGCTGACCTTTAAACACCTGTGCAGTGTGTTGAGACGCTCAGGCAGAGAGGCTATTGTAAAGTGATAGGCGTTTCTCTGCCATCTCAGATTCATGCTTGGGCATCTGCTCCTTAAGTTTCTTTTTTGCCCTAGAGCTTCTAGATGAAGTAAGTTTGCAGTGCACATGGCTGTTGTGGGAATTACATTTGGAAACCACCTGACAGGCAATAGTAGGTGCTTAAGAAATGGGGGTGGGGGTGAGGAGTCCCGACACAGTACTCAAATCCACCAGGTGGGGAGAATAAACAATAGTACTGTGGACCCTACAGGTAGCAGGGGCCACTTTATTCTGCCCCATCCCCTCTCTCCCGAGGCTTGCGCAGAGTCGCTGGAAACTTTACGTGTTAAAAGGGAGGTGAACCCTAACAAATTCTCTCCTGAGTTTCTTAACTCGCTCCCCATCTACCCTTATCTGGGGCAACCCCCAGGCCTGAGCAGAAAACTCCCACTGTTCGTACCCCCTCCGGAAACCTACACACCTAGTGCCAGTCCCCCAACCCCACTCCTCCTTCTGCTTAATGCTCACCTCCAGGGCTCTACAGATCCCCAGTTGTTGAGTCTCAACCAGAGCCCGTAAGCCCTCGGTGGCAGGAGGTAATTTGTAGTTCCAGAGATGCGCCAGCGCGAGTGAAGGTCATTGCGCATGCGTGGGCAGCGGTTTTCTGCATGTCTCTCTCAAACTGGGTATCTGTCCCCCTTAGCCCGCTGAGGTGGGAATCCAGGCAGCTTCTTTAGGGAATCCGACTGTCTGATGGAACTAGGCGCCAGCTGACCCTTCCCAAGCCAGTAGTGGCAAGGGAGGTCTTAGGTACCTGTTTTTCATGAATGAACGTAGCGGGGACTGACTTTGCCAACAAAGTGGGCTGAGAAACCTGTCCCTTTCCTCCAGGCTGGGGCAAAAATTGACCTTGTGCCTTTCCCGAGGCCAAAAACTCAGGCCAGGGCTGGATTTTCCTTTGGGATTAGAGCACTAATTGATTCAGTAAAGTCAGTAAATATTGGTTTAGGGAGGGGCTGAATACAGTGAAAGAACAGTCTAGATGCCACGTTATAAAAGAACAATTTTGGTGATACTTAATTTAGATTATTTCTAACCCAGCAAATTGTATGTATTTTTATATCCATTTGACAAGTGGGGAAACTAAGGCTCTGAGTGGCAGGTTGCCCACCTTGTTATCAGTGGGGTCAGGAGGGAAAACTGGTCCTCCAGGGTCTCCAGTTCCTTCCTACTCTTAAGAGGAAGAGGGCCCCACTTTGTCCTCCGACAGCACAAAGATCATAAAAATGTCTTTCTTATGACCCAGCCCTTGCCTAAATTTCCTGGGCTGTTCCACTTCATTCAGCTTCGGGTGGGGAAAGGGACTAGGCCGTTTTGCTACGGCGTTTATTTTATTAGTTCATTTCATTAAATTTTTTATATCCTTGTTTTTTTCATATCCCTGTAAAAATTGTTAAACTGGAATTTAAGCTGGAAAATATATAACGTAAAATATGGCAGAGGCTTCTGTAGGAACTCATCCAGTCTCAGGCATTACCTTTGTCTGGCTTTTTTTGTCTGGGGTATAAAGTCCACCCCTGGCTATTCCCTCTACTCTCCTTGAGCACACAGACTGTACTTCTACCAAGTACCCTCTGGATGGGGGGAGGGAGGCACTGTTCAATTCTTCTTATTATTTTAATATATCTTTATTGACTTCGGAGAGAAGAAGGGAAGGGAGAGGGAGAAAGAGCGATAGAAACACCAATGATGAGAGAGTCATTGACCGGCTGCCTCCTGCACGCGGCGCACTGGGGATCAGCCCATAACCGGGCATGTGCCCTGACCGGAAATCGAATCTCCATCTCCTGGATCATAGGTCGGTGCTCAACCGCTGAGCGACGCCCGCTGGGCACACTTCAATTCTTAGAGGAAGGGATGACAAAGGCGCAGCTGGCTCTAGCCAAAGGGCTCTGGTGTCTGACACCTCAAAAGTTCCTATGCTCCCCCAAACTCCGCTCCCAGCAAGTAGCTTCCGCGTCAGAGCCGCTGAGAAAAACGAGACGCTGGGAGGACCGGCGGGCCAGAGAGGCCCTAATTATTTGGTCACGTGACCCGACCTCGGCGGGGCCTGGGTCTCCAGGATGCAAGGCCACGTGCAACGGCTATTTCTTCCGATTGGCTTGGCTGGGCCAATTTGAACGGCGTACGGAAGCCGCCGCGGCTCACGAGGGCCGCGTTTTTTCTGTTTGTGTCTTTTTTCTTTTTTTTAAATTCTCTCTATTTGGCTCCCTCCTTCCGTGCGAGTCTCACGAGAAGCTGCAGCACAAGGCGCCGCCGCTGCTGCCTCTGGTCGGGTACGTGGGCCTCACCCGGAACCGGACCTGCTCGGCCGGCTTGCGTTGACCCCCCGTCTGGGTCCGTGCCTGTGTCGCGTGCAACCCAGGCGTCAGGGCCGCGCCTGACGCGGAAAGGCCGATAACCTGGTTGGGCCCGATTCTCGAGCAGCGAGAACGGGTTGGGGGGGAGGGGGCAACCGAGCCGGGCTTAGTGGGTGGGGCCTCGGAGCCCGGTGAGCTCTCGGTGCAGTGAGAATCCGGCCAGTGGGGCGCCTGGGGTCGGGCTGGAGGGGATCTGATTGGGGGACGTCGCCAGTATCCGGTGTGTGAGGGGTGGGTGGGTGCTGTTTCGGCAGGGATAGGTTGGGTCTGGTTGGGAGAGGCCGCATTGAAAACTTG